ATACTTGTCTGATTGTGACAGAAAAAGCTTCATTCACTAACTACCGAAAAGAAGAGAAAGACTTAATATTTGGTTCAAGAAAACCTGAATTTTTCTAAAGGTTTTATGGGATTACTGGTTTTCTAGCACATAAACTTAAATAAGAAGTAGACACAAATGTCAAATTAATTCGAATTACAGCGGACTATGTTTAACACCTACACGAAGACCCGCTTAACGCGGGACGTTCCTAAAGTAAGCTACTCGAAACAGTGCTAAACGGGCTATCTTTCAGTAAATTTGGGGGAGGGAAGATGCTAGGAAATTGGTTATTTTAATTTAAAAAGTATTTTTTTTTTTAATAAAATACAACCAAACCTTATTTTTTAAGCCCAAATTAATACCACATATATTTCTGCAAAAATAAAAACAAAATAAATAACAACAATATTTTAAAAAAAAAAAACAAATAAATTCCTCAGTCATATTTATTAGCCTTCCGCATTTTCGTGTTCTCCTTTTGTGACAAAAGCATCTAATGTTTTGTTTTTTTCTCTTTCGCGTTGTTCTCTAAAGTTCTTATAAACGGATAGAGCATCTCTAACACCCCGCCTTACTTTGAGCCCTGTCAATTCGGATCATTTTCACTGACTTGATCCATTATTCAGTTTAGTAGACAAACTCCTTTTTACACACCCTCGAAGTTCTTTTTGCGCTGCTTCTGATCACAGCTTCAACATTTTGTTTTCTTCTTTCTTGTCAGTTAATTCCTTGAGCTCATCTTATTAGACTAGCGCCTGCTTCTGAATATTTCTTCGACATCTTCCACATTTACCCCTTCAATATGTCTGTACAAAAACCGCACCACAAGAATACAGTACACTCTTTCGATATGTATTTGAACCTATCGCTGCATAATATTTCGTGGAATCCCCGATGCGGAGCGTTCGTGGATCCCCGGTTGAAATAAAAGGCGCTAAACCGAAACAGCGCTAAACGAAACACTATAAGGGGTCTTAACGTACTTTTAATTACAAATTCCTCCTTTATCCAAACATCTTCACTGTGTTGTCCTCAGATAAGCTCCAATCTATACCTCTAATCTACTCCGTATTTTATGAGAAATGGAACCAGAATTGAAGGTATTCCCTTTAAATGCATCCCACCCAAGTCCCCTGATGTGTCTTCTATGGATTGCTGTGCATTTGGACTTTTAAATCAAGCTCTTTATAAGCTACATCTCAAAAACTGGATGGATTCTGGAAGATTGTGAAGGAAGAGTAGAATAAAACCAACCTTGTTGTTTTAAGAAAAGGACTTTTATCTCGAAATTCAAGATGTAACATGATAGTTCAACAAAAGGGCTATCAGACTGATCATATTAGAAAATAAAATTCCACAGTTTGTTTATATATAAATCTTTGCATAATATAATGGGATAAAAACAGAAGAGCTATAAAATAAGTTAAAATTTATGAAATTACAATGCTCATTAATTGCATGAAAATGAAGCAACAATAATGCATAAATATAATTTAGGTAGGCCAAAAGCTCCTATCAAAACAATATATAAAGAAATTAACAATGTGGAAGCACGTCCCACAGACCAAAAATTTAAAGAAATAATAAAAATGATTAAAATATTCTCAAAACATGAATTAAATCTGCCAGGATTATGCAAAGTGAGCATCAATAACAAAGAAATTTAGGCAAGCAAATTTAATTTAGCTAGATGATTTTGACAAATAAACTGGATTGCACCAAGTAGGATCAGAAGACAAAGGATTAAGATCAGATGATGACACCCCTTGAGATAAACATGATCTTAATTAAGTTTCTTCACCTAAATTTCTTTGCTTGCTAATTTTCAATTTTTCACTAACTTTCCATGTTGATAATATCTCTGCATATAGTTTTAAGAGGAGTCAAAGTTTCTTGACTTTTATTATATATACATATATTCATATGTGTGTGTGTGTGTAATAAGATGACCTGGTGGAAAGTTACAACGGATTAATGACGGTTCTCTGCATTATAACTTGAACAGACTTTACTGCATTCTTACTGCTTAGATAGAAAGATGGCACTCGAAAACAAATATAATCGTAAATTCCACACATAATTTCATTCCTTGATAATACACATCATCACTATAGGTGCTCTATGCACCCCACAATTTTATACAGCTTACATTTCTTAAAGAATAGACGGAAATTGGAAAAGTAAACTCTGCGTGGCTAGCGGCAAGGCAACTCAGCAAAAAGAAGCAGAAGAGAAGAATGAAGAGAGGAGATGGGGAGTTATGACGTAAGAAAAAGAAAAAATATCATTAATGAATCAATATAAAAGCTGCACACCCCATTCCTGTGCGATTTTGCCAAAAATGTAAAAAATGAATCAAAATGAACAAACATGGTTGAAAACTGTAGGAGAAAAATTATAGCCGAAAATAGAGCTATGAATGCTCATAAATAGCTATATGTTTGAAAGTTGGCCAAGACAGAGCCATAACTGTGCAAAAATTTGAATTTCTTGACCCCCTTTCAATTTTAATTTCATGTATAACTATAAAATCAGCAAATGCATAAATTGGAAATATTTAAAGTAACCTTGCCATCACACTAGCTTTAATTACACGAGACTTGCTCTTTATTATTTTTAACACTGGTTTTTGTAGATTTTAATTACATTTCATCCTTATAACAACATGTGTGTAACATGTAACAACACAAATCAAATAATTTACGGTTTGGGGTTGTTTTATTCATTTCATCTTCCCTGATGAAAAAATTAATAATTCTTTTACACATGTGTAATTTTTCTCATCAAAGAATATTCTTTTCATGTTTACTTTAGCTAGCTATTTTAACACTGTACTTTATGATTATCTGCAATCCTACCAAAGGTCATAAACTTGTTGGTGACTTTGGACAGCATTCGAGAACTCATTAGCTGTTTTAAAAATAGCATACACCTAAGAATTCCATACAGCAGTAATCAATGAATAAATTTTAAAAAGCAAAATGCACTGATAATAAAACACTTATATTTTTTCAGAAATCCCTTATTTGTACACTCAGTAATTTGATTAAAAATCGCTTAAAAACACTGCAGAATTGCACACCAGCCAAAACAGATGTGCTTATGTGCACACCTGTGTTACCACATAAATACTTTTCAATGACATTGGGTTACTATTTAATTATTTTGTCAACATACTGCTTTGTCTCATGTGCTTTGTTGTGACTTTTTGGTGGAAGTGTTTATAATCAGAAAGTTCCCCTTTTGTTAAGGCAGAATTTATAAACAATCCAAGGTCTGAGATAGGTACACCTGCTAGTCAATAATTTCAAGTGCATATTTCAGTTATTTATAGCATTAAAAAGGCAACAGAGAAATGTATGCAAAGTGAAGGTGAGTATGAGAAAAGCAAGATTATGTTACTAATGTTAACTTAATATGAAGTTATTTTAGTTAGCAATAGAGAAACACAGTACTGCTTTATTGTTGGTTGACAAAATTTTAATTAAATAAGTACGGTACTCCAAAAACTCCAGTTTCACTTTTTCCATTATGCAAGTACATTAGTCATTTGTACTATACACTGACTACCAATAAGTATTTGGACACCTATGATAGAAAAGAAAAACTAACTTAATTCAAAATCAATAGTTGGTATAGCCTCCACAAGAGGTAATTACAGCGTGGACCTCCGGGGCATACTTTCCACAAGTCTTTGTGGACAGCTAGTGGTATTTTCCTCCACTCGGCTTGGAGAAGAATAGAAGTTCCTTCACTGATTTTGCAAGGTATGCACCCTGAATTCGGCGGTGCAACTCGTCCATAGGGCACGATAGGGTCAGGTCTGGACTCTGGCAGGCCAGTCCATTCATGAACTCCATTGGCACCATACCAAGCCTTGGTTAACGTCGAAACATGAAACTGGCATTGTCGTCCTGAAAGATCAGGGGTCCAAACGTAAAACTGCCACAACGTAGGAAGCAATTGTTATCCAAAATAGTGCAGTAGGCATTGGAGTTGAGCTTACCATGAATGGGGACCAAGGGTCCCAGCCCATACCAGGAGAAACACTCTCAGACCATAATTCCAACTCTGCTGAACTATTGGCACAATGCATTCTGGCAGGAGACGTTCTCCAGGTAGACGCCAGATCCAGATCCTGCCATCCAAATGGCAAAGGGTGAACCTTGATTCGTCACTCCAAAGAACCCATTTCCACTGATCTACAGTCCAATTTCGATGTGCTTTGCACCATTAACCGAGCAGCGCGTTGGACTTTGTGATAAAAGGCTTATGGGCATTCAACCATGAAACCAAGATGTGCTTCTATGGATGGTATTCATTGAATTAAACACTCCCGGATGCCTTGAAACTCCGCGAGAGGGCCATCGGTTGGGTGCGGTTCTTCCGAATTTCTCTGGACAGCACTCGTCGGTTATCCCCAGTTCGTTGGTCTGCCGACTCAGGCACATTCCGACAATCACCGTCACCTTCCTTCTTAATCACATAGGCCACTGTCGATTTGGGTACTTCAGATCGCTAGAATGTCCTTAAGGATCGGCCACATTTGTGATACCCAATAATTATACCTTTCTCGAAATCAGAGAGCTCCGAACTGCGAGGCATCTTTCATGCGACTAAAGCCGATGCTGTTTCCTACACAATATACACCGGCGGACTCCGTGACGTATCTTAGGACCGCAGATATCTTCATTTGTATAGGTGTCCAAATATTTATTGGTAGTCAGTGTATAAGACAAAGATTTATTTAAATCATTTTACTATTTTTAGGGCAGAAAGGAAAAATAATGAAATTAAAAGAAGATTTAAGGCTATTACAAATTAAAGGTAGAACTGAGATACAAAAACAAAGGTGAATACATAAATATGCACACATATGCAATTTGCAAGGAAAACTGGACATGTCTTCAGAGCCAGTATTGTATTAAAGTCTTTATATTTTGCATGCAAATAATAAAAACATAGCATTTTAAGAACACATCTTACTTCTCTTATCTCCCATGCAAAAGGATTCTCTGAAGGAGAGATGTCACTTCCATTACTATCAGAACACTGTGATGAATAGTCTGTGCAATCACTCTGACAATCAGTTATCAAAGGCCATTCCAAATCAGAAGTTTGGGGCTATATATAAATAAATACAACTAAGCAATTAATCAGCCAACTAACATGCATTCTTTTACTTGCATAAAATCAAATGTTTATGTATTAACATAACCACCTTATCCCAGTTTGATAGAAGATAAAAAATTGTGACTTGAAAGCTAGAAAAAAAATTGTTACATGTATAATTTGCATTTCATAGATATTTATCCATAAAATCATTCAATCTCCTATTTACAAGAGGGCACTTATTTTTTATTTTATTCACTTTATTTTTAATTACTCAATTATTTTATTTTGTACTCTTGGAAATTTGTTGCTACTGCTTTCAAAACCTAATCACAGCAGTAGTTCCCTGTAAAAATTTTGCAGTAAAATATAATACATATTTTTGCAGACTCTATTCTGTAATTTCTTCCAATTCAGGCAAATACCCCATATTAATAGCACATATTTTAAAACTGAGTTAAGACAAAAAATATCTAAAATAAAAATTGTCTATAAAACCCATTGGAATCTAAAATACAATAATAGAGTGCATACACATTTCTGCACATGGAAATAAAGTACTTTTTTCCCCTTGGAAATAAAGGAATATCAATTAAAACGATTAAGGAAACTGGAATGGAATAAGTTAGAGCAATTGCCTATGGTCAAACTTCACTTTTGTAATATCATTCTAAGAATAAAACAGATCTGTAAGTAGGATGCATAATTATTAAACATAATCTGACAATTAACAATATTTATAACACAAATTCTAGAATAAAATCATCTTCATAAAATTTATCAAGCAATTAACATTAAATTACAAAATTTCTTGAAACATGTATATTTGACACTTATAACAGTTCAATATATTTTAAGGAAGATTAGTGACATTTTATTTAACAAGCAGCTTTACTCTGATTCTTTCTTTCATGCCTACATTTATACACATTTTATGTCCAGTGCTATAGGTTAAAATGAGGAAAAAAAAAAAAAAAACATAATCAATATCATTCATAATACAAGCTTGGCTGTGTCACCCTTGCTGCTTGAGAAATATCTGCTGATCAGAACAGAAGTGAAAACCTAACATAGGCATGGTTGGTAAGTGCTGAAAGTTAGTTATGTTTTGTCTTTTTGAACAAGTTTGTGTCGTAGCTTAGCACAGCGTTGTTAATGGTGAAATTCCAGTAAGACTCTGAAGCACTTGAACCAGAGCTGATAAGTTGTTCTGTATTATTTGGTTTCACTAGCCATACAGAATAGTGTTTTATGTTAATTTTTATATTTTGGGGTTGTATCTTGTAATGATTAAGGAAAGGCAATAACTCACTTTAACACAGAGATAACTCTTAAGAGTGAGCAGTCCATCATAAATAATTAAAATTTGATAGTTAGATGCATTTAGTCATTATAGATTTACATTGTGACTTCTTTTTTAAATATACTTTTTAAAAATATTCATTAATAAAGAACTATTAAAATCCTAATCTAATAACAAGTTTAAAATAACAATTTCGCATAAAATTTATGACAATTCTAAAACAGTATTAGAATAATTTCACAGGGTTCGTACACATTTCTGCACACGAAAATTAAGTACTTTTAAGGACTATTAATGAAAAAAATTAAGGACTTATGAGCAAATGGGAACTGAATAAATTCAATTAAAAATATTATCTATGCCTGAATTTCACTTTTGTAATACCATCCTAAAAATAAAATAGATCTCTAAGTAGTCTGCATTATTACTAAACATGAATTAATTAACATAATTATTAATAAATTTGAGAATAAAATAAACTTTATGCAATTTATCAAGTAGCATTAAATATTTTACACTTAAAACATATGGACATACTTGAAAGAAGATAAGTCACATTTATGTTTAACTCACAGTTAGCTTTATGTTGATTTTTTTAAATGTCTCATTTTGTCACGTACTTGCTCAGTCTAGAAGTTCAGTAAATAGCAGGTAGATTTTATGTCAAACGTCATAGGTTAAAATGAGAAGTAAGATCATAATCAGCATGATTCAGAACAAAAGACTGAATGTTGTTACTGCTGCTGCTTGTCTAGAGAGAGACCTTCTCATTAGAACAAATCTGAATAGCCTGATGTAGTGTTGAAAGTTAGTCGGGCTCTGTTTGATGCTGTTAGTGTTTGATGCTGTTAGTGTTGTAGTAAAGGCTGAAATCATAAACAATTGGGTGATTTACATAATAATAACTGCACATTTTCTTTGAAGAATAATTTTCTTTGTCTTTATTATTTTCTTTCTTCAACACGTTTCCTTTTAATTTTAGAATTTTTGGATTTATTTAAAGATTTCCGTTATTCTAAAAAACATGAAATGCATTTAGAATGTATAGAAAATGGCTAATTTTATTTTAGTAATATGAAAATTCAGAAGAAATATATATAGTAAAGGCCAGTTACAGAGCCGTTGTGACAGAATTTTTAGAATTTGGTGTCACACCGAACAACAAAATCTAGAAATGGCAAAATTTTGGAATTTAGAGCAGGCATTGGAAGCAGAATTTAGGCTCCAGAGAGATTGCATCAGGTGGGAAAATGCCTAGTGCCAGCTCTGTGCATGATGCATTAAAACATATTAGATGAATCTTTTAAACTGTAAGTTTTCAATTTCTTTATTAATAAAAAAATCCCTTTCTATTAATTTGCCTGCCCATGTGACAAGATTAGAAGCATTTTTGATATTTTCCGTGCTTGTGTCTAGTGAAAAGTAGAGAAAATAAAGAGATAAGAAATTCATCGCAAACTTTCAATAAAATACATCCATTAGGTGTTGATACCATGGAGACATTTTTCATTTTATCACATATTTCTCGAATCTTCCAGAATCGTGGGTCTATAAATCTTGCCTTCAAATCCTTCTAAACTTTCCAAGCTGCAATGTCTAAAATACTAAAGAAAAATTATCCCTACGAATTCAGTAACAGCAAAAAGCCAGAAATATTTTGGAAAAAAAAGGAGGGAAAAATTGTAAAATTAATTTTATAGAGAAAACTGATACATGTTCTGAGAATTTTGAATATTCTGAGACAATTACATAGGGAAAACTTTTACTATGAAAAAATTAAAAAGAAGATATTTTTAACTAATTACATAGCTAATTTTGCTTTTGATAAGAGCCATTTCGTAAATTGTGTTTTTATAGCATTATACCTTCTTTATATTTCAGAGTCAAAATATTGTATAAGTTGCCAAAATGAAATTTCATATGACAGCGAAAATTAAAAATGTTTTATATTAATGCTATTTTTTAAATATAATTTCAATATATTACCATTATTTTAATGAAATTTATCAATGTTAGAACGTTTTGAAAAAAATCGTCCAAAAATTCTCAGATCTCGGAATTAAAAATTTTCTATAGAAAATGATCTTAAAATCGCCAAAATGTTGATAAGTCGCCAAATTTAAAACCGTTTAATAAAAGAATTCACATCTCCAAAATCGAAAAGTTGTTTAAGAGCTCTTTATTAGAAAAAATGAATTTCTAAATGCTTTTATCTCACTTCTTGCTTAGAAACTCTAGTATCCCATCAATTATATTAGAAATAGAAACAAATTAAAACCGATAAACCCATTCAAAAGATCATCATATATGCGCCAGTGAATCGCCAAAAATATTCCTCCAAAATGCTAATTCACACTCAAAATGGCAATTGTAAAAAGAGACAGAAATTTCAGATGATTAAAATTAAGGAGCTTCTGCTGATTTTGGCCAAAATTAAGGACAAAAAATCGATTCCAAAAAATCTAAGGACTTTTAAGGACCGTACGAACCCCGTTTCACATTAAAAGCTGTAAAAATATATGTTTCGTAGCAGCAATATATAACAAAATATTTATGTGTCATTTTAATTTGAAAGAATTCTTACATATTTCTGCTATGTACATCAGTTTTCTTCTCTTTAGCATCTTATTTACTTGTTTCAATAAACAAAACAATGTTCCCACTTGTCTCTAATTCATCTCCTAATCTGTTAATTTCAACAATATACCTTTGAAGAGCATTTTTTTTTCCAATTTGCATAGTCAACTTCTTCCTCACTAAGCTTCATTTTAAAATTTTCAGATTTAAATAAAGATTTTTGTTATTCTAAAAACAGCAGCATTTAGAATATACAGAAGCAGTTAATTTTGTTTCCTTAATAATTTGAGTATTACGAATAACTCTGAAAGAATATATGGTCAGGGTTACCGCCAGAGCCACTGTGGCAGAATTTTTAGAATATAGTGAAACACTGAGCAGCAAAATGTTTAGATTTTAGGACAGACACTGGCAGCAGAATTTAGAGATGGCAATAATTTTAGAATTAAGGACCTACAGAGATTGCACAAGCAGCAAATTGCCTACCATAAATAAATCACTGCGTATGGTGCACTGTGACATATAAGATGAATCTTTTAAATTCTCTTTCACTTTCTTTTATTAATATGAAAATTCTTTACTACAGATACCTGTCTACCTGACAAGAATAGAACTATTTTGGCAATTTTCTATGCATGTGTCTAGTGAAAAGAAGAGAAAGTAAAGGGATGATTAGCACGTTAAGAGAAATACTTTCTAGGATCAAAAATAGAAAAATAATTTTAGTGCCACTGTTCTTTAAAAAATTTTCCAAAAAATAAATTCATTACAAACTTTCAGTAAAGCATGTCCATTACAAATTAATACATGAATGCAATTTTTATTTTCTTTATTTTTTTTCCTGAAATCTTCTAGAACATAAATCTATAAATCTTGGCTTCAAATCCTTCCAAGGTGCAAGGTCCAAAATAAAAAGTATTTCTACTTGCTGTGTGAAAGCAAAAAGACATTTTGAAAAGAAAATTCAAAAAAGAAAAGTGTGAAGTAAATTTCACAAAGAAAATTGATACATACTGAAATATTTTGAAATAATTACAGGGGAAAAAACTCTTATGAAAAATGTAATAGAATAAAAATGAAATTAATTAAAAAATAATTACAGTAGCTTAATTTCTCTAGCTAAGAAATGTTT